TCGGTCGCATCTCCGGGCTCTGCACACACCGGCGACTTTAGGTGAAGGCTCAGCGCCTGCGTCTCCACCCCGGCCGCCCTGATGAGCCTGCGTTCCCTACAGCACTGCGCCCCGCTCAGTCCGCGCCCAGCGCCTCCCTTCCTAGTGCCTCCCCTCTCCTAGTGCCTTCCGCAGTCAGCTGGCTCCTCCCGGGATTCTGTGAATGCACCCTCAACGCCCATCTCATCCTGAAACCCAGCAGCGTGGCCTCTTTCCTTTCGCCCACTTGTCCCTAACGCACTGTGTGACTGCTTCAGATTTTCGTGTTTTTTTTTTTTTTGAGATGTAGTTTCGCTCTGTCCCCCAGGCTGGAGTGCAGTGGCGCGATCCCGGCTCGCTCACTGCAACCTCCGCCTTCCGGGTTCAAGTGATTCTCCTGCCTCAGCCTCCGGAGTAGCTGGGATTACAGACCAGCTAATTTTGTACTTTTAGTATTTGGTATTTTAGAGACGGGTTTTCGCCATGTTGGCCAGGCTGGTCTCAAGTGATCCGCCCGCCTCGACCTCCCAGAGTGTTGTGATGACAGGCGAGAGCCACCGCGCCCGGCCAGATTTTCGGTTTCTTTTCAGCTATGTGCAATCTGCTTAACCCATCCATTGGGTTATTAATTTCAGCGATTTTTTTTTTGAGACGGTGTTTCGCTCTTGTCGCCCAGGCTGGAATGCAATGGCACGATCTCGGCTCACTGTAACCTTCGCCTCCTGGGTCCAAGCGATTCTCGTGCCTCAGCCTCCTGAGTAGCTGGGACTACCGACGCGCCATTAACGCCTGAATTTTTTTTTTTTTTTAGTAGAGACAGGGTTTCACCATGTTGGCCAGGCTGGTCTCGAACTGCTAACCTCAAGTGATCCACCCGTCTCCCTTGGCCTCCCAGAGTGCGGGGATTACAGGCGTGAGCCGCTGCACCCAGCCAATTATTCTATTTTTGTCCTATTTGATTTCTTATATTCTAGCAGTTCTGATAGGCTCTTATACTTCCAACCACGTATTTATCTTTAAGCTTTGTGTGTGTGCCTCGTAACTACAGTATCTGCAGCCTTTGCAGGTCTGATTCTGCGTGTCATCCTGGTTGACTCTTGGCTCAGGCTCCCCTTTCCCCCGTTCTGAGCTACTGTCCCCTGGACTTTTGTCTCTGGAAGTGCTTGAGGCCTGAACTGAAAATGTGTTGCTCCGTAAGATTTGCACTTTATTTTGCTGGGCAGGGGACACCATGAACCCAAGACTTTGAAACTGGGAGCCACAGATGTATTGTGAATTCTGATGAAACCACATCAGTGACTGCTTAATGCTAATAGGAATGGCCACTTACCGTTTTTCACCCACTGAAATGCTCATCAGTTCAGATCCTCTCATCCTAACCTGATTGCACCTGAACTCCCGTAGCTGACACCCTACTGATTTTTTTTGGTTCAGTTTTTAGAGGCAGGGTCTCACTCTGTTGCTCAGGCTGGAGGCACTGGCATGATCAGGGCTCACTTGAACTCTTAGGCTCAAGTGATCCTACCTCAGCCTCCTAAGTAGTTGGGTCTACAGGTGTGCACCACCACTGCTGGGCCAATTTCAAAAACATTTTTGTAGAGGAGGTCTCACTATGTTACCCTGGCTGGTCTTGAACCCCTGGCCTCAAGCGGTCCTCCCCTTGGCCTCCCAAAGTGCTTAGATAGGTGTCAGCCACCATGCCAGGCCCTATTGTGTTTTCACATTTTCTCCTTGCAACTTAATTTGCCGTATAGACGTTCAACCATCCCACTAAGAGGTTTCAGTCTCAGATTCCAATTTCCTGGGATCCCAAGTGACTTAATTTTGCCAAATCTCCATTTCTTTTTTTTTTTCCTGAGATGGAGTCTCACTTTGTTGCCCAGGCTAGAGTGCAGTGGCGCCATCTCAGCTCACTGCTACCTCCACCTCCCAGGTTCAAGCCATTCTCCTGCCTCAGCCTCCCGAGTAGCTGGGACTACAGGTGCGTGCCACCACACCCAGCTAATTTTTCTAATTTTTAGTAGAGATGGGGTTTTACCATACTGGTCAGGCCGGTCTCAAACTCAACCTCAGGTGATCCACCCGCCTCAGCCTCCTAGTGTTGGGATTACAGGCGTGAGCCACCGCACCTGGCCCCAAATCTCCATTTCTAAGCCTGCAAAACAGCCTAAAATATCCAGCTCATTAGGAATGTCAGCTAATCCATGAAAGGCACATGGCACCATCTCCAGCAAATAACGTGCAATAAAGGCTATGGAGAGTTGTGAGGTTCTATAAAGTGAAAATGACGAGGCTGGGCAAACAGATGTAATCTATAATCCTTCCTGGTGAGTAAGTTAGAGCAAGCTTGCATTCTGGGGGATGTTTAAAGCTTCTGCTTTATACCTTTGAGAAATCTGAGCCCTTTGAATTCCTGAGGTAGCACACTAGGAGCACTGCTACCACAGGGAGAGGCCAACAGACTTGGCCATCAACTCAATTGATTAATTATCACTACCATGATTGGGCAGATTTGTTACTTGAAGTTGGTTACAACAATGAAATTATAACAAGATGATATGCTGGGTAATTCTCGACGCTTATGGAATCATACAGCTGGCCTGCTCCTGAAAGGCGGTGCTGAATCAGAACCTCTTACAGCTGGGCACAGTGGCTCACACCTGTAATCCCAGCACTTTGGGAGGCCGAGGAGGTGAAACCCAGACTCTACCAAAAATAAAAATAAAAAATAATAATCAGCCAGGCGTGGTGGTGCATGCCCGCAGTCCCAGCTACTTGGGAGGCTGAGGTGAGAGGATCACTTGAGCCTGGGAGGTTGAGGCTGCAGTGAGCAGAGATTGTGCCACTGCACTCCAGCCTGGGTGACAGAATGGCTCTGTCTAAAAAAAAAAAGAAAGAACTTCTAGTAATAGAGGAGTTGACGTCCTTTCAGATTTGGAAATATTATTTGGGATGCAACTTTTTCTCATTAAAAGACCTTAAAATGTAAGATAGGCTTGTAAAATGTAAGATGTAAGTTTCTAAAATTCAGCTTTAATTTCTAAGTATCTGCCCTAATGCCTGCTAAGAAGTCACACAGTTCCCTGTGATGTTCCTCTCATCTTCGTGAGTTGAGTTTTAGAGAGCATCTCTTTTTTTTTTTTTTTTTTTTTTTTTT